AAGTTCAAGGATTTTAATAGGAATATTTCATTATTGGATAAAAGGGTAAATATGAAAGGATTATAAGGGTATTATGGTAATTTGGATTGGATGATATTTTTATCTCCCTTATTTAGGAAGATAACACGTGGGGATGTGGAGAGTTATCTGGAAAGCTTATCTCTTCTTCTTCCTTCTTCACGTTGGCTTCCATCTTTAAAGGTAAGTTTGATTTAGTTGTTGATTTCTTGAATTCTTAAGTTGGAGTTGAGTCTTTAGGGGTTATATAAGCTTAAGGAAAACTTATATAAGTTTAAAACACCAAGAAGAGAGAATTAGAAAGGAATTTCTATTCAGAGTTAAGAAATGAACTTTTGTTATAAAAAGGTTTTTGAAGTTCTAAGAATGAATTTGACTTGTCAAAGGGTTAATTAAGAAGTTAGAGGTAATAGAATTGAACTTAGAACACATGGAAAATTTAATGAAATTCTTTGATTCAAGAATTATGGTGAATTATGGGAGATGGTAAAGTGTTATAGTGTTATAAGAAGGTTTACATATGTATAGATACGTTTTAAGGTACAAGGAGAGATTAATAAGTAGAATTTGGGGTCAAAACAAGACATCTTCGTGCTCAAGATGTAATTTCTGGGTTGTGTGCATCGGTACATCTTCAATGTGTACCGATGCACTCTCAAATAAATGAACATCGAATGCAAGGAGTGCATCGATGCATAGGGAGTGCATCGATACACCCCATTAAAATGAAAATATCGAATGTAAATTGTGTATCGATGCATGGGGTAGTGCATCAATGCACATATTAAGGGATGCATCGATACACTGTAAAATGTATCGATGCACTTCAAAGAGAAATAGAAATAGACCTTTCTTTTGGTCTAAGAAATGATAGATTAGAGTATATTAATTGGATACTGATATGTATCAATGTATGATTATGTAGATATAGAGTACGAACAAGTTCTGGGACGACTATCAAGTTAAGATTCGATCGAAAGAAATGAAATCATAAAAGGGGATTGGAACTTAGTGAGGCGAATGTGAGTGCATACTATTGGAATATATGTACTTTTACATGGGAATTGGACTTATGATAAGTCTGTTCCAGATATTTTGAATATATGATAGCATGAGTCGAAGCATGATTAAGATTGCGTGCTATGTGAATGTGACATGCTTGCATTACATGTTATGTGATGTGCATTTATGTGTTATATGATAATGATTTATGAAACAATACAAGAATATTATCCGAGTTACTGATTATTAACTTCTAAGATTGCATGCATATGTAATATAAGTTATAAGATGAGAAAGCATATATTTAGATGTATATGAGAATATATAGGAACAAGAAATAAGTCAAGTAATAAAGGAATATGAAATTATATGAAATGTGACATAAGCTGTGTGATAAGGTCATAAGGAATGAAATAAACATGTGACCTAGGTTGTAAGTTAAAGCATTATTTGATATAAGTAATTGTGATCATAAGATAATCAAGTATAGGTTATATTATATGGTATAAGGGTTTATATAAGAAAAGGTTATAAGACTTTAGGAGAATAATATGTAAATTAGGGTGCATAAATATAAATGATGATACCAAATTATAAGTTAAGTGTTTAGAGAAGAATTATATTTAAAAGAAACAATGATATAGGAGTCATGTGACATGAAGCTAGATAAATGGATTAATTTAGTATATAAATTATATGTTATGATATAGATTACAAGATCAATATAAATGCATGATAGTGTAATAAATTATATAAATTGATATAATCAATTATGTGAATAAATGGAAAAGTGAGTCAAGATAAGTATTGACTTATAGGATAAAATGAGATTATATGAACATATAGTATAACTTTATGAGGAAGACTTAGGTGTTATATGATTTAGGTATGAAAATGATATATATGTAAGTGAATTATGTGATTATGTGACTATGAGTGAAATGGAGTAAACTATGTAATTATAAAGTATGTGAATATATGTATATAAAATAAGTCATGTGACTATTGAGCTATATGAAATCAAGTGATAAGAAGGTTATGATAAGAAGTTATAAAAGTATATGTTTATGAGAAAATATAAGAATAAGTTATAAGCCATGTGATATGTGATTTATATGGAATTGTTCTACGTGCAAGTGATTATATGCGAGTATATATTTATGAGAAAATATAAGAATAAGTTATAAGTCATGTGATATGTGATTTATATGGAATTGTTCTACGTGCAAGTGATTATATGCATAATTCATCCATGTTTTAATATGAAATTATGTGTAATGAGCGCTATTACCAAAGGATAATGCTAAGTGATCATATGTGTACATGTGAAGTGAATGATGTGTTATATGATGAGTGATAAGAGAGATATGAAAATGTAAAGTGTATCCATATTTAAGCCCATGTTATTTAATATGAGAGCTGTAGGTATAATTGGCATGCCAAGAGTCGAGGGATTATCAGTGGTCCTTCGGGACATAGTGGTCCTTCGGGACAAATATTCAGTGCCCCTAGTGGGAATTATTCGAGCTGTGGTGACAACATTTGTGCACAACCTCAGTGTACTCACGTACCTTCTGTTCTTAATAATGTACATGGGCAATTCAAAGATAAAAATTTAAGTGAAATTTGCATAAGAGGATTATTTGCATATGTGCATAACATGATCATATGTGATATAGTTTAGTAGACAAACGTAAATTTCACTGTTATGTTTGATTCTTAGTGAATTTCTCTAAGTGATTGATGATGTGCACATTTAGTGAAGATGAGATTATATGATAAGAAGGTTTGATAATAATGCTAAGTGTGAAGATGATAATATACAGGTGCATGTATGTATATGTTATATGAAATATTATATGTTTGTGAATGGTAGAATCATATTAAGTGTTCATGCGTTGCTCTGAGTTAGAGTTTCTATTATATGTTTTTTTATGCCTCACTAAGTCATCGACTTAGTGTGTGAGTGTTCACACGTAGGTTTTGGAAAGCGAGAAGAGAAGCGAAGAAGAGCAAGACCCTCTGCTTTCCACAAATCAGATCATAATGGTAGTTAAGTGTAGGTATTTGGTTGTATATAGTGTGTTGGCATGTAACAAAATTTTTAACATGTATCATTATCGTTAAAAGATAAATTTTTATTATTTATTTATAAAATTTATCATTTAAATTCTTGATAGTAATGGTGAGTGGATCACAACACGGTTAAGTTTTGAATAACTAAAGTAAATAAAGATTTTTGGTCTTTATAGCTAGTCTGGAAATGGAGAAATTGGAAGCTTTTTTGGAAATTAAATCAGATGATCCACATAAGTGGAATCTACTTTTTGCCTTAAATTTCTTCTGTGGACTCGAGTGGCTAAAGGTTAAACAAAAAACTTAAGCATTCCCTTTCTCTATTTTCTTTAGTGCCCAATCTTTTTCTTAAAAAAAATTAGTGCCCAATCGTCACACTGCATTCTCTTATGCTCCAAAAAAAAGTTATGAGTAATATTAGAAAATTATGTACTAGAATGACTCATTATATGAACTTTTTTTAGGTTATTATGTGAGAGTTATAGTGATAATAATAAAGTAGAATATTTGTTGGGGTAAATTTTAAAATTTTAAAAGATGATAAATTTATAAAATTTTAAAATAAATTATTAATAAAAAATTAAAATACATAATACCTCTGTCTCATTAAGTTTGTCATCTATTGTATTTTTAAAAATCAAAATTTGTAAACTTTGACAATGATTATTTTAAATATTTTAAAAATAAATTTTATAAAATATATATATTTCAAAACTACTTAATGGAATTTTTTAAAATATATATTTTTATTAATAATAAATTTTAAATAATAAAGTTCAAGAATTTTGACAAAAAAATTAACAAGGAATAATTTAAGTGAAAAAAAAGAGTAATAATTTTAATTTTTTTAAAAATAGAGATTATTGTCTTCAATAATCCCCTTGATCCATCCTTGATGATGACAAATGCGATCTCTCGATCCTCGAGCTACTAACCCTCAATGGAGGATATGATTTTTTTGAGGTTAAAAAAAATGGAAATCTTACAATGAGTTACGTCTTTACTAATGGTTATTGTTGAAGTATACTGGAGACTCTTACTTTTATATTTAAGGTTATTTTTGTGATATGTTGTTTGTTGATGACAATCGGTTTAAATTGATTTTTTTTTATAAAATATTGTGATCAGGGTGAATCAAGTAGGGGTAGTGGGTGGTCATTTTTTTTTTGAAAAATTAAAATTCTCATATAATCTAAATATATTTTTTTAAAATTTCTATTAATAATCTATTTTCACTTCTAAAAAAATATAAGTTTGTTCTCATAATATGAAATTTTATGTCTATTCATGATTGAATGATCAAAGATATCAGACGACAATTCGACATTCTTAGTGTTTTGTTTTTGCTTATTTTACAACAAACACGCAGAACTAGTACCTTAATAACCTAATTCTTATGGAAGATGATGTTAAGAGAAAAGTTAAAACCTAACAATCTTATTTTTCAATCAACCAAACAAAATATTTACTTTTAATAAGATTACACCAGCCTTGTGGCAGGTAATACAAGTTTGAGGATGAAGATTCAATTATATTTACTTGTGAAATAAAATAAATTAGGTCCAAAATAGATCTAAAATGAATGAAGTTAGTCCAACGCTCCAAACATCAAAATTCATGATGTGAGCTTGTGCACTATTTTATGCTCGAACTCTCCTCAGTAGTTAATCATATCTTGGATTTGAACTTTTTGATTGAAGCTTGTACATAAACGATTTCACAATCATATTCCTCAATAAAAAAATTCTTTAAATTTAAATGGAGAAAAAAAGTGTACCATGATTACGATATCACTTCTAATATTTTGATAATTATTTATCATATATGTAATTATTAATGATTTTAAATCATAATCTAATTGTGTTTTATTCGTTTGTTAAGTGGGTGAAGGGAATGAGAGAAAGACCCATAAATCATTTGAAAAATGAATGGCCCAGATAACACAACAAAATCCACCAACCTTATCTTCTGATAATGCCAATACCTCTAATTTTTCCCACCATGTTTTCCAGGAAAAAAAAATGGCAACTTCATTTCTCTCAACTGCTAATTCCTTCTTCCCATCATCTCTTCCCCCTTCAACTTCATCTTCTTCATCATCATCGTCATCGTCATTAGGGCCTGCATTAGTTCATCTCAACAACCAAAATGTCCAAAGAAGAACCCTTTGCAAAGCATTCAATGAATCTCCACTACCCACTCCATCTTCAACTAAAAGAAGCTTCACCCTTTGCTTCATCACCGGCTTGGGGTTGGCCGCCGGTAACGGTTGCTCCAATGCCGTCGCAGCAATTCTAGAGGCCGATGATGATGAAGAACTTATGGAGAAAGTCAAGAAGGATAGAAAGAAGAGGCTTGAGAAACAAGAAGTAATCAGTTCATCAGGCAAAGAAAAAGGTTGGGTTTTTGTGCTTCCTTTGCGTTTGGTAAAAGTTCTATGAAAAACAAGGATAGTTTTCTTGAGTTCAACAGAAAATGCTGTCGTCTTTGGTGATGTTTGCTGACTTTGCTGCAATGAAATTGGAATGTTTCAGGGTATTTGCAGGATCTTGTGTATAAGTTGAGGCAAATTGGACAGGCCATTGAAAACAATGATCTATCTGCAGCTAGTTCAGTTCTTGGGGGAAACACTGATACTGAGTGGGTCAAGAATGCCAATGTAGCCTTCAACAAGGTCATTAACATTGTTTTCATATTTAATTTTCTGCAATATTAATCTCTGGCCGAAATCCACATTTATAGAAAATATTAGTATCGGACATCCATAGTTCCGGTTTTCTATGAGTGTAAATTAACAGAGCCATCGATGAACTGTTCATAAATCGTTCGCATAACACTCGTTTGTTATGCTAAACAAATTAGTATGAATAAAATTTTTATTTTCATTTAATAAACAAACGAACATATATAAAAATGTGTATAGTTTGTTTATATTCATGAACAAACTCGTTTGAAATCTCATTTATTGGTTTATTTATAAATTTGCTTATCGGCTCGTTTATAAGCTTGATTGAAATCTGTTTGAAATCTGGTTGAAATCTGGTTTATTGGTTCTCCTTTCCCTTTTATTTTTTATATTTTAAATATTGGTGAAGGTAAAAACTAAATTGAATACATAATGAACTCTAAAGTTCAAAATGTGAAACCTAAGGAACTTAAGAACTAATGACATAATTTAACCATTTTTCTTTGGCTTTAAAGAGTGTGTTAGGAACTTAAGAACTAATGACATAGTTGCTGAGCCGGGAACTCAAACCTGTGTCCCTTGACATGGTTTAAACCACACCCTTTCCACTTTGCCTATAAAACCACCCAAGAATTTTGTGCAACTCTCCGGAACATATAAACGAACATGTTTGCAAATGTTAAGTAAAGCGAATACAAACACTTTCAAAAATAAACAAGCACACAAAATATTAAAAATTTAAATGAATATGAATACCTTCAAAAAAAAATAAATGAACATGAACACAACTTTATTCGTTCAAACTCGGTTCATTTAAAAGAAAACAATTTCCTTGAAAATGACTCGTGATCTAAAGATGTCATGACTGATTTTCTTTACTTTTCTCAACAGCTGAGCTCTAGTACCGAAGAGAAGACGCAGGTCGAGACGTTCAATTCTTCGTTAGCTTCATTGATAACATCAGGTATGTCACTCTTTCGAATATAAAACATCAATATTCAAGCATCGAGATTGAATAAATGCATGGTTGCATAATAGTACTGACAGTTCATGTTCTGATTATGGATGTCTCTTGTTTTGCATTGTACTCTCTATGCAGTTACAAAAAATGACGTTGAATCATCAAAAGTAGCATTTGTGGAATCTGCAACTGCATTTGAGAAATGGACAACCCTGACAGGACTTACTGGACAACTTAAAGGACTGTGAAGAAAAGAATGATGAAATTTTCATTTTGTTCTTCTTATCTTCTACTGAAATCCACAGTTAAATGTTTTTTTTTATCACCCATTGGAGGTTTCGCTTGAACAAAATAGTACTGACAATTCATCTAGTCCAAAAATTGAGATTAGCAAACTATTTCTTCCATAAGAGTTGTAATAACTTTACTCAATATATTTGAGGATCGGTTTTTTCTGTAAGGTTTCAATCTCAATAAGCAACAGAAATTTGTGTTGCAATCATTGTTACTTTTACAAATAGTGTGACGTGATTATAACGTAACATCGGTCTAGAATTTTTTCAATTGGCAACGCACATATGTTACAGACACGACTGCTTATATCCAAATCTTGAAGGGAGAACAACATTCCGTTCTACCATTAAAGCCACACCATGGAGTGAAAGTCATTGATAAGTCAAAATGACGTGCCAAAACTAGTGTAGCAAGCTTCGGAAACCTACATTCTGCAAACGTGTTATCTGCAGCCCCAAGACCCGACTCGAGAAAATTTTAGGGTCTAGTTGTTAGATTAAGCCACGAAGCGACTCACCAAATTTTTTAAAATATTTAAAATCTTGAAACAATCTTTTAATTCCAAATTGAGTTAAAAAAATTCATAACATATTATTATAAAATAGTAATACACAAAATATAGAGCTTTAAAAATATCAAGTATCAAAACATTACTAGTGTTACAGAACCAATATATTTTGCCATTAATTTTTAATAAAAAATTTAATTTATTATCATGTTAATTTTATTAAGGTAAACTATATCAATGATCATTAATGTTTGCGTAAGTTTTTGTTTTCCGACTTAGGTTCAAAAGTGACGAATTTGTCACTAATATTGTTGATTTATAACAAAATGGTCATTATATCGATTTATAACAAAATGGTCATTATATCGATTTATAACAAAATGATCACTCTATCGTCATCTCCGTTAAAATGATGACATAGCAACGTTAAGAAAATGGTTAATATTTAGTTTTACCCCTAAACTATTTCTAAAACATCAAATAAGTCATTGAACAATTATTTATATTTAATGTACCCCTAAAACTTTCTAATTTCAATTTTTCCCCAAATACCTCACCACCTTCATTATATTTGAACCACCTTCCTTACAAAATAAAAAAAATGTTGGAGAATTAAAAATTGATTCTTTTCACTTTTTATATATACTTTCTTATTTTCATTTTTTTCAGAATGAGAAGTTGATATTGTTACTGCAAGAACACAACAAACGAAAAATTGCAATATTGTTTAAAAAATGGAGTCAAATGCATCTGTTTTACTTAATCAAAGAGATCAAGAGATACAAAAAGTAGCAAACAAAACAATGGAGCTTCAAAACTTGTTGAAGAAATTGAAGATAGATAACCATGCATAATAAAAAGTGGTGCTTGAGGGCGAAGCGATGCTTGTGTCTCAAAACAATAAGCTGAAAACACTACAAGAACATGTAGTTTCCACAATGGAGTCGAGATGAAGAATCATGGTGTGAAGTTGAAGGTCAACAAGACAAAGAAAGGAGAAGAAAAAGAAGAAGAAGAAGAAAAAGAATGGTTTACAAACGCTGAGATACTTCAAGTGCTTGCGTTTGTGAGATGATAATTTTTCTTGTGTTAATAATTGTCATTTGAGCTTAGTTAATGTTTTACATGAAGTAGCATTGCATTGAATGAATGGGAATTATGCAACTTGAACTTGTGTTAATAATATGTGAATGTTACTAAATCAAGAAAAATGACATAGTATTATGTTCTTTTCTTGCCAAATTCAAGAAAAATCCAACAATAAGAGTAGCTATGATTATATTTATGCACATTTTATGTTCTTTCTTGCTTATTCGAGTGATTAATAAGACATACAACTAGTGGTTTGACAAGAAGAATCATGTTGGCAACTGCAAGTCTAAAACTAGTAATAATTTCCATAGCAAACTTTAAACTAACAAGACAACCATAAACTATATAATAAGGTAGAAAATATCGACATAGAAATGTCATCACTGAGCACATAAAATTAGCTAAATAATTTTGAAAGTAATGTGTTACTAATATGTATTATGGTTGTTTGTTAACTTAACCATATAACAATTCTTGTAGAGCCCAAAATTCAAGCACTTGGAGCATCAAAACATTTGTAAAACCATTGACGTTATTGTTCTTTCTTTGTCTTGTTGATATTCAACTTCACACCATGATTATGCATCAGTGACTCCATTGTTGGCAACTACTTGTTCTCATAGTGTTTCCAATTCATTATTTTGAGACACAACCATTGCTTCACTCTTACACGTCATGTAATACCCCAAAATTTTGGCTAGTGACATAAATGTAAATTTTGAAAGTTTAGTGGCCAAAGTATAAATTTAGGATATTTTTAGGAACCAAAAATGTAATTTTTATAAGTTGTATATTTTGGCCTGTAAATGAATATTTTATTGCAAAATTGATGTTTTCATGGGAATCAAATCTTTTATTAGGATTTGTATTAAAAGCTATAAAGCAATAAATTCCAATAAGAATTCGGATAATCGGATCGAACCGAAATTTCACGAAAATTTGAAGGATGATAGAAAAAGGTTGGAAATATTATTTCCATAATTTAGAACAGTGGAATTTAACATGGATCAGTGGAATTAAGGTTGATTTTCCTTTTTTTAAACCAAAATTTGGAAATTTAGTGACTAAATTATAATTTTTGAAAATTTAAAGGGAAAAGGTGGAAAGTGGAATTTTATTTTTTCATCTTTGACTTTAAATATTAAATTGGAAGATATCTTGATGGCATGGTGGAAATTATCAAGTTTCATTAATGGCAAATGGTAAATTAGATTTAAATGAATTTTAAATTCATTTATAATAGGATAAATCATGTGTATTAAGTGATAAACGATGAGGAAAAATCAAGAAAAATCAGCTCTTCTTCAAGCTTCAACCAGAAACTCCATTGAAGGTAAGTGAAAATTTGCAATTTGATTTTTAAGCTTATTCGATTGATTTTTGGGTTAGGCTATTTGATAGAAAATTAATCTCCTTGAAATTTTCTATCATTTGGTATAAATATTTCATGGAAACATGCTTGGATGATGAATTTTATAGTGTGGGTGGTTGAAGAACAAGTTGAATTTTGGTGATTTAAAGATTTATTTTGATGTTATTAGTGTTGTAGATTAATTTCCAAGCATGAATGATAAAATTAAAATCATCTAGAAAAGTATATATTAAATTCAGCCAAGCTAGTTTTTGAGTAGAATTGATTGGTTTTGGATCAAATTTTGATATCATTTATACATGTGCTTGCATGGAGGTAAAATGCATGTTTATTTCATGAGGTCTTGTGGGTGGTGTTGTAGTTGGTGACGTGTGTACTATGCTATCAATTGCTAGTTTGTTATTTTTGTTATGATGAGTGTGGTGCAGCTGTAATCCAGTTGGCTTTGTGTAGTTGGTGGAGAGGTCTTTTCCACCTCCTTTATATGTTGGGCATTTACCTTTGAATAAAATCAACATTATTCCTTAATGTGAAAATACTAAAAGTGTGAAAATTTAACATGGTGTCGGGGTTGAGTGGTTCTAGGTCTTATTTCTTCTTTTAATTTACTTTTGGGTGATGTCGCCGACAGACGATTCTGGTGAGGGCATGTTTACAAACAAGAAAGTGAGCGTTACTCTTGATGAGTTTAATTATCTACTATGGAAACAATAGATCTTGTTGACTGTGCGCAACCATCGGTTAGAGAAGCTGCTCACCGGTGATGTCTAACATTCTGCGATGAAAGTTCCACTTGCTGATGGGTCCGTTGTTGATAATGATGACTATGAGGTCTTTATTTCTCATGATAGTGCTCTCGCCTCTTAGTTACTCTCAACGATTGACACTTCCCTTTTGCCTCATCTTGTTGGAGCAAAAACGATGACTGATACCTGGGCAAAGATCACGAAATTCTTCGTCAGTAAATCTCCTTCAACCATAATGAATCTACATTACAAGCTCAAACTTTTGCTAAAAGGTGAGAAGAATATGAGGTCGTATGTTTCTGAGGTTAAAGAAATATATGACGCGTTAGTTGCTTGTGGAGCACTGGTGCCGGAATATGAACATATGGTGACTATTTAATGGTCTTCCAGTGGAGTATCGACTATTCATTGCTATTATAACATCAACTCGAGAACCATATTCTCTTGAGGGTGTGTTTCGGTTCTCATTGATGCTAAATGCAACAACAAAATTTTGAACATGTCTATAGTTTTCAGATTAGTGCTAATATGGAAAATAATTTTATTGAAGGCTCTTCTAGTACTAAGGTTACCTCGACTGTTGTTTCTACTCCCTCTAATGTTTTGTTCAGGCCAATATTGTCGCAATGAGGGCGTGGTCTTTCTAAAACCAATATGAACGAGGGTCGTGGTCGCCGTAAGTTTTAATGTCAACTTTATAGTAAGATGGGCCATCTTGTCAATCGGTGCTGGTATCAATTTGATCAATCCTTCTTGGAGTTAGGGCAGCAGCTGTTACAAATGAAAATAATGTCTCCTCCAATCTTATTTCTTCAAACGTGTGTGCTTCTAATCCTAGTGTTTTTACTTCTATTTGTTCATATGGAAAGGGTATCAAGCAGTTTGGTAGTGCTCTCGTTGGGTCGTATGGTCAGAGAAATAAGGATATGAGTGCAACTGGAGTTCATCAAGAGCAATGATTTCTTGACTCGGGTGCCACCCATCACGTTACGACTGATGCTACTATTATGAGGGATAGTCCCACTTTTCATTGTGCTAGTAAGCTTGTCACTGAATATGGTAAAAAATTGCATATTGCTAATGTTGGTTGTTCTATTTGGTCTAGTTTTTCACGTATGTTGCATTTAAATGATTTATTACATGTTTCACACATTACTAAAAATTTTCTTATGGTGTCTGTAATACCCCAAAAGTTTGGTTAGTGACCAAAATGTAAAATTTGAAAGTTTGGTGGCCAAAGTAGAAAATTGGAAAAGTTTAGGGATCTAAATGGTAATTTCCCAAAAAGATTTTTTATTCCATAAATGGATAGTTTACTCTTGAGAGTAGGGTTTTATTGA